ATGTCCTTTGCTGTGTAGTGTAAGGAGGGCAGACTGAGTGGAAGAGTTGTAGCAGCCTGAGATAGTCAGGGAACAGCACCCATAGGAAGATATATAACTGAAATAAAAATATTATGAGAGTTAAATTTAGATTAACCCAGGTAATTGATTGACTTAGTCCTAATACCTCACAATAAGTGGTATTTACAATAAGTGGTTTCACAGTAAGTGAAACCAGTATGCAATGATTTCATTGGAAAGGGCCTGGGAGGTTAATTTTAGAGGCTGGTAACTTGAAGGATCTAGATTTGGGTAAGAAAGATCTAGTGCCGGTCTTCAGGCAGCGAGCAGATGGTTGGAAGGAATATATCAGTGAGCAGGGGCAAAGGCGCTCTGACAAGAGATGGCAGCAAGATGGCGGTGAGAGATGGGCATTACAGAACCACTTTGCCATCACTGAAATTCTATCCAGCATGTCGTAGCAGCTTCTTGCTTGTGCCCTTAGGATCTCCCAGTGACTTAGAAAATAGAGTGAAGGAAGCGTAGGCTTTATACTTTGTCTTATAAATTGCTATTTTTATTTAAAGAGAAAAACATATGCAAAGTAGAAATTTTGTGAAAATAAAAAGAAAGTAAAGAGACCACTTGTATCCTCTTCATAGAAGGATATCAACAATTACAATTCTGACATCTTCAGGTACTTTTTTCATTTGTATTTTTACAGTTCTAAGAATTGGGAATCATTTTGCCATTTATTTGTGACAATTTAGGGAATTCATTTAATGTCTCTGACTTTTATAATCTGCAAAATATGGATAATATTCTTTTTTCTACCTTCATCTGTGGTTATCATGCAATAAAAGACATAAAAGGTTTTTAGAGTATAAACCTTTAAAGCAAATCAATGTTATACATTTTGGTATTTATACCCTGTAGGAAATGAGCATTTATTGTAGGACAGAACTTGGAGAAATAGTCTTATTTGCAAATTGTGAGAGAACAGGAGCATTTTCAATTTAGATGAGTTTATAATTCATGTGGCTAATTGTGAGAACTAATGATTCTAACATACAGTATCTTTATTTCCAGAGGATATAGTATAGTTATGGTATGTAAAGTATTAATATAACATACATTACCATGTATACAATATCAGTGTTTCTAAAACTAATATGAGATAAAATCAATAGACAGGCCCTCCCTGGTGGTGTCACTGGGTAAAATACAGCCCTATGAAGCTGGCTAGCCACAGCTGCCTCAGCATGAGCTCCATCCCCAGCCAGGGAGGTGACCCTTATGGTGTGGCAGACTTCTCCTGACCCGCCCGCTGCTCCCCTCTGCAATGTACTTCGTCGATCTGCCTGTTCTGTTCTCCACTCTGTCTCCGGTGAATCCTCTTATTGCCCCTCCACCTCTTGCCTGTACCCCAATTCTGTATGCATAAATAAAATCTTTTAAAAGAAATCAATAGACATATGGCCTATAAAATTCAGGAAAAAATTGTATTTTTATAATGGATAGATTGTTATTATAAAACTTTTATTACCAAGATTCATTAGTAATTAAAGGACTGGAAATGAGGTATAGATAATAAAGGGAATCAGAGAACTACTAATATGTTGAAATAAGTTGAGAAAGGGAATGTCAGTAATATTAAAAAGATTATTTATTCTAGATACCATAAGACTAGGGAGAGGTATAACAGGTTTTTAAAAAATACTTACCAGTAAATTTAATCATTAACCAGTAAATTTAATTAATGGCTTTTGGGGCATTTTTCATATGTACAAAAGACCACTATCTGAGGGATAGTAATAGCTTCAGTTTCAACTGAAAATTCAGCAGAAATAAACAGTTCTAAATAATCACCCTAATGTCTGAGAGTTTGGAGAGGAGTAAAGAAAACCATGTATGAAATTCTTGAAAGGATGCTCAAGACAGGTTCTATTTATATATATACTGAAATATTATATATTATGTATAAATTATTTTTATTAAGGTAGCATTGGTTTCACAAATGTATATGAACAGTGTATATATGCAGTGTTGTGAACCAATGTTGCCAAAGCACATTTTAGAATTTCTATTTTTGCATGTATTTAAAATTAAGTTGTGCACTGTGTATTTAGGCATGATCCATCCTTTAGCCTCTAAATTAAGGTGATTTACATTCTTTCATTAATGACTCTAGTTAGAACTCCAATTTGAAGAGTTATTTTCTTTAGGTCCAGCCTATAGAGTAGACATTATCAGTAGGGAGAAAAGACAAAGTCTTTGCATATCTCACCATCTCCAGTATGTCTCAGAAAGTAAGAAAAGGTGAATAGTGTGTAATGAGACAAATAGATCATAAGGATGAAGATTTATCTATTTTGAGGTATTTGAGGATCTTCCTGAGGCACAACTCCAAGAAAGTGGAGGGGACAGTTTGGATGGCAAGGAATTAAGGAGGAGATCATCAGTGGGAGGTAGATCAAACAGAAGGGGAAATCATTTCTTGAAACTAAGAGAATAAAGAAGAGCATCCAGGAAGATGGCATGTCGTCAAATCATAGCAGCACATTCTGCATTAGGATTTATACTTTAGAGACAATAAAACCATTTTGGTGATGTTAGTTATATAACCAAAATGCTACTTAGGAAGAATAATCTGATGAGCATGTTCAGATTGGATGGGGGGAGCTCAGTTGTTTTGTGTTGTAGGAATTCAGCTATTGCTGGTGTAGTGATGTGATTTATAATAAGAAGTATATATTGGGTCTTTTTTTTTTTTTTCTAAAGGGCACAAAGCCCTTAGAATTTGTTAAGTCCAGGAGCAACTAAGGCATCTTTTATTATGTCAGTGAGGTTACCTTTGCACCTAAGCTTGGAAACTGATTGCCTGGAGAACCAGTTAAGTGATTAGAGGACCCATGCTTTCATTCCACTCTATCCTAACTCTGAATGGCCTGAAGGTTGAATAATTGCCAAAGACCAAAGATTTAATCAATACTGTCTAAGTACTGAGTCTCCAAAAAAAAAAAAAAATCCAAAAGGAGAGGGTTCAGAGAGCTTCTAGCAGTTGAACCTGTGGCAGTCCTGAGTGTGGTACCCCAGGAAAGGGTAAGGAAGGGCATACCCTTTCCAGCTAGCACACTTCCTGAGTTATATTCTTTTATATTAACTGACAAACTAGGAAACAAAATATTTCTCTAAGTTCTGATTGCTGCTTGAGCAAATTAATTGAAGCCAATGGAAGGGTCCTTGGAACCTCTCATATAAAACTGGTTGGCCAGAGTCCAGGTGACATCCTGGACTGAAGTGTGGGGGTAGAGGACAGTCTTGTGGGACTGAGCATGTAACCCATGAAATTTGAAGCTATGTGTGGGTCAGCACCAGAATTGAGTTTGCTTGCAGGATCTCTCCCACATTGGAAATTTGGCACCAGAACACCAGTGGAAGGTTTGAGAGAAAGGGTGGCTGAGACACTTGCAGTGGTATAGTAGATCTGGAGGAAAAATCCTTTGGAGAGTAGAGAGATGATAATGTGTTTTGTTGTAATCATGTGACATTTTACATATATAAGAATAACACATAAACATACAGGAGATAGTGTTTTGTATGTTGTGGGAAATATGACAGTATTGTTTAGGAAGTAGTAAGGGATGAATGAGTTACCTACTCAAATTCAACAACAGCTCAATGCTAGTGAAACTACTAAACCTTTTTCATCTATTGTCTTTTTTTGTCCAGGATATAATTAGATTACATTGAAGGTATATTAGGAGCAGAGAACAAGGCAAATCCTTAAATGATATTATTATCTCGTAAAGTAAAGATAGAAAACTGGGAGTTAACAAAAGGAGTCTGGGAATTAGGAGGATTACCAGGAGAGTTTATTGGTACTAAGGGTGTTTATAATGATTTCATTATAGCAAACAACTATTGAGTTCTCACTGTGTACCAAATCCTTTCCTCATGGTATTTTGGAGGCTGGAACAATTATTAGTCCATTTCAATAGAATAGTAAATTTAAACACAATGAGATTAAGTAACTTAATCAAGGTCAGAGTAAGTGATAGGATAAGTGGCTGAGTCAAGTTTAAACTGAGCACTCTGATTTATGATTTTTCACTTTCAGTGACTATTTTACATGTTTCTCTACAACACTGAAATAAAAAAATGAAAAAACTTGTTTAAATAGACTATACAATACTCCAAGTTTGGATATGTGGATATAGTGGGGCTTTCATTTTTAAATTTAGTTCTTTTTCTTTTGGAGGAAATTTCACTGATCTTTAAGATCAACCTACATTGTGACAGATAATATTTAAGATAAAATCCGCTTTGGGTTTAGAATCTTAAATAACCAAACTCTCAAGTCAGCTTTTTTTTTAAAATCACTTCCTCACAAAGGAATGACTAAGAAGATTATCATTGAGAGTTACAGTTTACTTTATGCCCCATTGTATTTATTAACTTCACATATTTTAAGGCACTTCTAAGCAACAAGTTGTTATTCCAACAACACTTAACAAAGAGTCTAACACTATTGCGTGATCACTGGAAAGAAATCAACTGGATATATTGAATGAATTTTGGAATTGGATGGTTAATAGACATAATTTCTGAAGAATCATCTGAAATGTTAAATACATATTTATGTGTGTCAAGCACATATTAAGTATATGTGATATTAAACAGATGTTGAATATAGGGCTGCAGAAAGAAGTAGATGCTAATTTCAATAAAAAAAAAAACAGCATGTAAAGGGAGTTAGTGCCATATAAGCAAGGCCCTCTGGGGCAGAGCAGTTCAGATGAACCTAAAGAGAGGATGACTATTAAATCCAAATCTGAGACTAGAAGGTTAGATGCGGTGGGTATCTTGTCTGTGGACCTTGTACTATGTGAACTCTACATAACTGCAAAATGGCATGCTGATCTCTGGTTCGTCACTTTTGAAAGGAATTCCCTTTCAACTTAAAATTGTATTTTTCTCCCTTTTATGCTTATCAGGTGACTTCAGGATCAGCTTTGCCTATGAAGTTGATGGATGGAAGAAACTACTCAGTGGTGTCTGAATTTTTGTTGTTGGGACTCACCAGTGTTTGGGAATTTCAGATTCTTCTTTTTCTGTTTTTCACAATATTTTATATCGCAAGTATGTTAGGAAACCTTCTCATTGTGCTCACAATCATCTCAGATCATCACTTACATTCTCCAATGTACTTTTTGCTGGCAAATCTTTCTTTTATTGACACAGGTGTTTCCAGCATTGCAACCCCGAAAATGATTTATGACCTTTTTAGAAAGCACAAAGCCATCTCCTTGAAAGGGTGCATTACTCAAATGTTCTTTATTCACACTGTTGGGGGGACAGAGATGGTGCTACTGATAGTCATGGCCTTTGACCGATACATTGCTATCTGTAAGCCCCTCCACTATCTGACCATCATGAGCCTAAGGATGTGTGTTTATCTTCTGGCTGCTGCTTGGACCATTGGACTCATCCATTCTGTGGCCCAACTGGCTTTTGTTGTAAACTTACCCTTTTGTGGCCCCAACAAAATGGACAGCTTTTATTGTGACTTTCCTCGGTTCATCAAACTTGCATGTACAGACACATACAGGCTAGAGTTTCTGGTCACTGCCAACAGTGGTCTCATCTCCATGGGCACCTTCTTCATCTTGATGGCATCTTACATCTTTATTCTGGTCACGGTTCGCAAGCACTCTTCAGGAGCTTCGTCCAAGGCCTTGTCCACTCTCTCAGCTCACGTTACAGTGGTGTTTTTTTTCTTTGGTCCATGCATTATTGTCTATGTGTGGCCATTCCCTTCCTTACCCATAGATAAATTTTTAGCCATCTTTGATGCCATTATCACTCCTTTTATGAATCCTATTATATATACATTTAGAAACAAGGAGATGAAGGTGGCAATGAGGAAACTGTTTGCTAATGTTTTAAGTTCCAGGAAAAATTCTTTCATGCATAGTTCAGGAAATTCACATTCATCTTGATTATTCTTGGTCATGAATCCTTTTAATTAAATTTTTCAGTTTAGTTAGTGATTTCAATATCCACTGTGAAATCCCTCTTCAAGGACTCTGTTCTGATCTGGTCAGTTTTCAGAAGGACCTTTGTTCTATGGATTCTGAAAATAAGGAGGTCAGAAAACTCAGTCTTGGAGTGTTGTGTCTTCCTTGTTCATTACTGAAGACTTTGGTGAAGGCTGAAACTACACATGGTAGGAGTATTTTCCATTAAAACAAAATGTTGTATACTCTTCTCTTTGGTAAAGTCTCAAAGACATATCTCTTCTAATCTACATATGTAGTCATGTGCTCTGAGTTTCTCAGTGTTGATATGCCTGAAAAATCTATAAAATGAAGACAACTGCCTAGATGACTGAAAATTTGAGGCTTTTAACACCTGCATTTGCCTCCACACACTCTGATTTGGTTACTACTAAGAGTTTTTAGATTTAGTTAAGATGGGAAGGCTGAAGTTTGAGATAGAGTAACAACCCAGGAAACGTTAATATTACTAATTAATCAAATGTTTGAGGGCAGAGACTATAAATTCTTATGCCATTCCATGTGTATGATAATAATAATTAACATCAATTTGTTCCTGAATAATTGTCACTATTTTTATATGGCAAAGAAAATTTAAAAGACATTTTAAAAGGTTTTACATGGATTGACTATTTTGAAACTAAAATGAGGTGGCCCTGGTTTATAAATAATGAAAAAAATGCAAAATATTTCTATCATGTGAGCTAGGTTTACAACTAAATAAAAAAATGAAGCAACTATGAAGTATAGAAATTAGGAATGAAAATTTACTAAAAACTGTACATAAGTGAAGAGATATAAAACTATAATGAAGAAATGCACTACATTTTCTATGTGATAAAATATGGTACATACAGTCATTTAAAAATAAATATTCAATTCAAAAATAAGTCTTGTATCTCACTTCTTTCTGGATTCCCAAGTGCATAGGAGCAAGTGATGAGTGAAGGCATTATTATACATGTGTAGGTCAGACTGGGAAAATCCATGTGCTACATGAATCCGTGCTCTGCAATTCATGAACATTCAAATGATCAGAGGTGCAAAGGTTTATTAGTAAAAGATGTAAAAAATAATATTCAAAACTGGAAGTAATGTTTCTGACAATTTTACTCTCTCCCTTGTGCCAATTTTCCAAGGAATCTCAGACCCTCTCCAGCTTGAGGAAAGATGTGTAAGCAACTCGTCTTTTTCAGTTTTTGTCTTCACATGTTAAAAATTTTCATCCTAAATTGCAAGCCTCCCAGGTATTATCTCTAATATCTAATTCCAGTCCTGACCTATTTATTGAATTTGAGACAACATAACTGGAAAGAGAAAATTCACATATGATTTTTATTAGAATTGTCATTTCCTCTAGAAACTTTGGTCCTGTATTTTTCACTTAGATTGGCAATGCCATCCAGCAGTATTCCGGGAAACACCCAGATTCTTCTCCCATCCATTAGAATTCTGTTAATCCCATGATTAATATTCCATATATTTGTCTCCACCTCTTGTTTTTTGGTGCCATTTTTTCTTATTCTTTAGGCACTAAGCCCCTGCTCCTCCCTCCTGTAGTCTCCCTCACAGTCACCAGAGGGCTCCCCTGACATGTGAATCTGATAACATGATGGGTCTCAGCGATACTCTCAACTGACTCTTAGTACTTAAGAGAGAACCAGGTCGAAACATCCCGGCACCTGTAATTTGGCACACGCCGCATTGTTCACAGGCTGTCTTGTCCTATTCCCCTTCCCCCTTCATTGCAACCTCTGCACTATGTCTTTTCTTTCTTATTTCTTCATGGAACATATGCTCCCCTTTCTTCCTATGTTGTGGCATTGCATTACTTCGGAAAGTACAGATGCCTGGTATTCTGGAGCAGGGGAGGCCATCTTTTTACAGATTGTTTACAGGTGGTTTCCCCTTGAGGTTGTTCAGAGTAGCCTGATTACCTTGATTTAGGTTATCATTCTTGTTCTCGTTCCCCAAATGTCCTGTTCCCTGCTCAAACAGTACTACCATTACTCCTTCCTGAGGACAGAATCCATTATCCCTGCTTAGTGTAATTAACCCAAATTATAATAATTATAATATGGTAAAATTTACTGAGAATTTTCTGTGGTTTGTCACTATGTACGGTATACTTATTTCACCTCATACTCAACAGTAATACTCAGGTATTATCACGCTGTTGATATAGATACAAAAACGGAGGGTCAGGGAGACTGGGTAACTTGCCCAGTACCACACATCTTCTAAGGTAGAGTTAGATTGCAAACTGGGCTTTAAAATGACTTCTGTCCCTGCTGCAATTTTGTTTTATATTTTTATTATTGCATATTTTGTATTGAATTGTTATCATTCACATGTCCCTTCTAATGCTTAAGGACAGAGAGTGAGTCTTTCATCTTCACCCTCAATGAACAGTACATCAATGGCTACCTTAATAAATGTTTGCCAACCTCTATGCTTACTTTCTTGCTGTCTTTGCAGGCTGTCCTTTAAGAATATGACTCACATTCCCTGATGATGTTAATATTTCGAGGACACTACCAGATTCTTTTTGTGTTTATTTTCTCTCTTTTAATCATGTAGATCTTGTAGTGACTTAATTATTAAAATTTCTTGTTCCAGAAATTTTTTATAAATGATCTCACTTTATTATTTTATAGTTTAGAAAGCACAAATGTTAATGATAATCTTGTACTCTTTCCTATTACAAAATTTTGCTTTGCACCAATCTCTATTTTTTTTTAAGATTTGTTTATTTATTCATACAGAACTGGGATACAGGCCAGAGGTGTAGGGGCGGTGAGAGGATTCACCAGAGACAGAGTGGGGAGCAGAACAGGCAGATCTACTAAGTACACTGCTGAGGAGAGCAGTGGGCGGGTCAGGAGAGGTCTGCCTCGCCATGTGGATCACCTCTGGGGATGGAACTCATGCTGAAGTGGCTTTAGCTTCCTAGTGCTGTGCTTTAACCCACTGCACCACCAGGGAGGGCCCACCAATCTCTGTTTTTACCCTTTTAGTCTCTTCCCTTCACCATGACATTCTTTACTGTATTTCTTTGATCCTGAGTTAGTGAAAATTTAGCTTAAGAGTTCCCAGTAAGTCTTGTTAACTTGTTTGCTGTTTTTTTATACTACACATATAAGTAAGAATGGTAATTATCTTTCTTTCTGGATTATTGCATAGCACTCTCATTTCAAATTTCACCTATGCTGTCATAGAGAGAAGAATTTAATCTTTTTAAATAGCTGAGTAGTATTCTATTGAATATGTATAGTACACCTTTATCTAGTCATCCAATAAATGATGGACATTTAGTTTCTTTCCATGTCTTGGTTATTGTGAGTAGAGCTGCAAAAAACATGAGTGCATGTATCTTTTTGAAAGACTATTTTTGGACAAGTACCAAACATGGAATTGCTGGATCAAAATACTGGTATATGGTAGTTATATTTTGTTTGGGAATCTCCAGACTGCTTTCTATACCAGAGGAGATGGAAAGCAGGACTAAAGGATTATCTAAAAGGGATAATTTGATAGTGGTGAATAGTACTAGAAATTTTGTTAACGTGTACATTGTGGTACATTTTGTACTATTTGTACAAAAACAAATAGTTTGTAATCCAATGGTAAGTCAAATTAAAAAGAGTTCCAAATGTGTTTTTCCCATATGTCTAGCTTGGGGTCTTACTCTTTTCACTCTGGATTCCTGCCACTACTTGTGGTTGAATGCTGCCTCTGAGCTTGGTGTGGAGGTAGGTAAGGAGAAGTCAAAATGATGCTCCCATACACTAAGGCAAATTGCCCAACTTGGCTACAAGCTGACACTCTATTCCTGATTTCTTCCCCACATTCCTAGCATTTAGGGGCAATCAGTGTTTTTTCTTTTTTTAAATTTTCTCTTTTCATAATGACCACTTCTTTTCAATTAATTTTTTAAAAATACAATATAGGCCCTCCCTGGTGGTGTAGCAGGTTAAGCACAGCAATGAGAAGCTAAAACCACTTCCACATGAGTTCGATTCCTGCCTGTCCCGGAGGTGACCACATCGCATGGCAGACCTCTCCTGGCCCACCCACTGCCCCGCTCAGCAGTGTACTTCGTCCATCTGCCTGTTCTACTCCCCACTCTGTCTCTGGTGAAGCTTCTCGCAGCCCCTGAGCCTCTGGCCTGTACCCCAGTTCTGTATGCACAAATAAATAAATCTTTAAAAAAATATATAATAGTTTATTTTTAGATCATTTTGTGCCTTTTTCCATCTCAGTGTAATACCTGTGGGCTCCCCATCACCAAATCATCCATGTACCATCACCATAGTCCAGTGCACTTCCCTCCCACCACCATTTTTGATCCCATTCCACATTCCACCCGCATAAAATGTTCATTATTATTATTTTCCCATCTGGTCCTTTAACCTCCTGCTATGAGTGAAGCCACCTAGTATTTTTCCTTTTCTTTCAGGCTTATTTTACTAAGCATGATCTTTTCCAGCTCTATCCATGTTGCTGCAAAAGGCATGTATGTTTATTTTTTTGGTTACTGAGTAATATTCCATTGTGTATATGCACCACTTCTTTTTAATCCAGTCATTTGGGCATTTGGGTTGTTTCTATGTCTTTCCAATTGTAAATAAAGCAACAATAAACATGGGGGTGCAGGTGTCTTTTTTGAATCAGTGTTTTTGTGTTTTTTGAGTAGATACCTGGGAGTGGGATTGCTGGGTCATATGGAAATTCTATTTTTAGCAATTTGAGAAACCTCCAAAGAGTTTTTCATGGTGGTTGTACTAGTTTGCATTCCCACCAGCAGTGCAGGAGAGTTTCTTTTTCTCCACATCCTCGCCAACATTTGTTGTTGCTAATTGTTTTAAGATGTGCCATTCTCACTGGGGTGAGGTGGTATCTCATTGTGGTTTTAATTCACATCTCCCTTATTACAAGTGATGTTGAATATTTTTCATGTGCTTGTTGGCCATCTGCATCTCCTCTTTGGGGAGTGTCTTTTTAGCTCTTCTGCCCATTTTTTGATAAGGTTGTTTATTTTTGTTGAGTTTCACATGATGAACACTTTTAAAATCTATTCTCTTAGAAGCTTGCTCGCTCTTTATAAAGTGGGGTCAGTTTTACTGCATTACCTATTTGTAGGAATTTCATGTCAGTGAACATACTGAACTGTGTTCTAGTTTAGGATTATTTATTCATGATCCATTTTCTTTACCATTACCTTCTTTTTTTGGAATTTCTTTCTCTCTTCCATGAAATCAATGAGAATATAATAGTTGTATACAGCATAGGACTCTTTGGAACTGAACTGGATGTAGAAGTCATTTTCTATAGCCTGTTATTTTTGCAATTAAGGATTGACACTATTGTGGATACAGTTATCTGAATTTATACAGGCACGGACCAAACTTGAATAAAAATTTAAGTTCTGTCTTTTGATTCCTAGTCCTACCAAGTCCAGCATGTGATGGACTGACTTGAAAACATTTTTTTTGTGTGTGTGTGTATGTGTGCGCATGCATTCGTTGTGTGTATGTGTGAAGCTGTATAACTTTAATAGAATCTATAGTTGACCTGTTGCATAATGTGAATAAACTAGTTTTTGATTACAGGTAGGACAAGAGACTTACAAAAAGTTATTCTGGGTATTTCTATGAAGTGTCCTACTTTGTTAAGGTTCTTTGTTGGAGATGGTTTTACAATAAATACAAGAAAGTGAACGTTCACATGTTCCTTGCACCCTATTCTTTAAACTTATTTATTAAATATATATCTTAAAGAAAATGCTTACAATTTTTGACCTTTTTTTCTTCTCTTTTGTGACTCATTAATAGTTTGTTGGTCCACTAGGATTCTCAGTGACAATTACCTTGGATAAATGACCTCATGTTGGCAAACCTAAGTCTCTGCAGTATCATTTGGTCAGTACTCTCCAGGGTGCCAATTAGCTGTGTCTCCCATTGAAATTGCTACAAAAATAACATTTGTGCATGGAGTAATGCTAAATTTAACCAGAGAATGTTGAATGTGGTTAGCTCTTTGGAAAAGTTAGGTGTTAGGTCTTTACATGGGTGAATTAGACATATTGTTGTACAATGTCACAGTCCCCAAAAGCTAATACTGAATTGATGCTTCTGGTAACAGGACTGTTGTATAGAGAAATTAATTAACTATCACTTTGTACAAGAGAAGCAACTTCAGTTGAGCCCTGAGCAAGAACCAACACAAATGGGAAGGAAAAGGGCATATAATGAGAAAGTGAAATTCCTTAAAAACTTTTTTTTACCTTTATTGCTATCCAAGTTTGAGATCCAAAAAGAGGAATAAGAATGGTCAAGAGCCAAATGATATTAGAATGTGCCTTGGTTTGAGTTCTGGGCTTTATTTAGTTCTCTTCCTTCAAATTCTATTGGTATGCCAGTTGCTAATATATTTATAGAAGATATTTGCATAACACATATCTGACAAGGGATTTATTTCCAAAAGATATGAACTAGATATGCATTTTCAAAATGTATACACTTAGCAACAAAACAACCAAACTTACTTCATTGTTTATATTGGGTCAGAGTACCTTTGTTTTCTCTATTAATTAGAGACTAATGAGAGCTGAGTCTCTCCCTTGGCAAGCCTAAATGGATTTCATGTGGACCAAGACAATGGCAGTCTAGGAACTCAATCAGGATGCTCTGAGATGGAGGTAACAGATTTGTCTTCTCCTACCATGGTTATTTAAATAGCCAGTTATTTAAATAGACAGTATGAATTGCAAATGTGTTTGAAGTGACTTATAAGACCCAAAAGCTGCCTATACTTGAGGACAAAACATCCTTTCTCTCACTTAAATCTGCTTAGATTGCTAGAGTGGAATATGGAGCATACAGATAGGGACCAAGCTGTGACATGCAACCAGGAAGTCATGACACTTTTTTTTCTTTTGTACTTTTGGTGTTTGGTTTTATTTTTTCCCCTTATTTATTATTATTTCCCCTTTAGGTAACATTGGTTACAACACTGTACATGATTCAGAGGTACAGGGTCATGCCTCCTCAGATATATATATATTTATATACATGACATAATTTTTGATAAAAATAAATTTTTTTTGATAAAAAATGATTTTTTTAAGAGGCAGGATCAGAGAATCCATCTCTCTGCCACTTAGTGTTGCTTTCTCTTTCTTGGTCTCAATTTCCTTCACTGTATAAAGGAGCAAAAACTTTTCTTACAAAAAATTATATGGTTTATGTAAGTAGGAAACAAGACAATATATGTGCAGGAGTTCCTGTTTTTATTTATTTGTTTTTGTTTTGATTTTGGTTGTAACCATTTCCATAGGTAACTAATCAAACATTGCTCCAGATTGGGAGATACTCCCTGCGATGTCTTTGTAATTTTTAAAGGTCATATATGAAGCTGTATATTCAAGTAAATTATACCCATATCTTAAAGTGGTCTTGATTTTTGAAGACTTTTTGAGAATCGTTAAGACTTTCTGAAGACAGTTCTGATCACTCTGGCTTAGGGTATCTTTTCTACTTTAAACATTCTATGATCATGCTACTTGTTTGACATCCTTTAAAGTGGTTATTTTATAAGTTATATACATATATATATTTATATTTATACTAAAATGTAAATATTTAATAACATCCTTACAGTGAGCTACATTACATACTGGGCTGGCATTTCATTATAAAAATTACAGAAACATTAGACTTAGAAAGGTTACCTAGTATTTTTTGCCTGGCATTTTCAGAGGATGAAAAGTTATCTATAAAATTTAAGTGCATAGAATTTTGTTTACTAAATTGAATTGTGCCCATTTGTATTCAGATTCTGTGACATAAGTTTCTTTTCTAGCCTTGTTCTTTCTCTATCATGTGCTATTACTCACAGCTCATGCCTTTGATCACCTCCATTCTCTGAGGTGAACTACAAAGTAGGACACCAGTGTGATTTCCAATATTTTCTCTTTTTATGAGGAAGAGTTGAATATTATTTGACAACTGCAATAGCATGAGATTAAACATGACACTGTCAGCAATGCATAGAGGAGAACATCACAGGGTTAAGGAAAATAAAAGTAATGAAAAATTACCTGAGATTTGGCAACTCCATAGGTAGGAATTATAAACTGTGAGGAAAAAATCAATGAGCTTACTCCAAAATTATTATTCTATGACGTTCCTAACCTCCCTCTCATAATCTTTTTGATTCAGCAGTTTTGCTTTATCTTCCCCGACAACTACCTAGAGAATTTTTCGGGAGTTAGAAGTGGTACTTTGTGGCAATGTGTTGCTGCTTATTTTCTGCAATTACAGTGTTAAGTGGTTATATTAAAGATACCTTGGCTATGTAAAACAAAACAATATTTTTTTTCTTTATAATTTGAAACTTAAGCAGTGACTCTCCACAAAGGTGATTTTCTTTCTTTTTCAGGTAAAATGAGTGTCATCTATGCTGGCAGAGCCAATGGTGGAGCCAACCACTCTGTGGTGACTGAGTTTGTGTTCCTGGGGCTCTCTAATTCCTGGGGAATCCAGCTGCTGCTTCTCCTCTTTTCCTCCGTGTTCTACATGGCAAGTCTGATGGGGAACCTCCTCATTGTGTTCTCTGTGAGCTATGACCCTAAGCTACACTCCCCCATGTACTTCCTCTTGGCCAACCTCTCCTTTCTTGATGTGGGAGTGTGCTCGATTGCAGCCCCCAAAATGATTTATGACCTCTTCAGAAAACATAAAGCCATTTCTTTTGGGGGCTGTATAACTCAGATCTTTTTTATTCATGTCATTGGGGGCACAGAAATGATGTTGCTTATCGCCATGGCATTTGACAGATACGTGGCCATATGTAAACCTCTTCACTACTTGAACATCATGAGCCCACGACTGTGCATTTTGATTTTAGCTGCTTCCTGGATCCTGGGCCTCATCCACTCAGTGGCTCAACTGGCTTTTGTTGTAGACTTGCCATTCTGCGGTCCTAATGTACTGGACAGCTTTTACTGTGACCTCCCTCAGCTCATTAAACTTGCCTGCACAGAGACCAACAGATTGGAATTCATGGTCACAGCCAACAGTGGGCTCATCTCTGTGAGTTCTTTCTTCATACTGATTATTTCTTACATCTTTATTTTGGTCACTGTCAGAAAACATTCTTCAGGTGGATTATCCAAGGCTCTCTCTACTTTGTCAGCTCATGTCACTGTGGTGGTTTTATTCTTCGGACCCTTAATCTTCTTCTATACTTGGCCCTTCCCCTCATCACATTTGGATAAGTTTCTTGCTATTTTTGATGCGGTTCTCACTCCTTTTCTGAATCCAGTTATTTATACATTCAGGAACAAGGAGATGAAGGCAGCAATGAAGAAACTCTGTCATCAACTTGTCAGTTACAGGAAGATGTCCTAAAAACTACTATGACAATTTAAAATTTTATCTTTAAATTCAGTAACAGAAGAAAAAATAGTCATTGAAAATTTAGATTTCTATTATTTTTTTCTGTATTAGGTCACATTTAGGCATTTACCAAGTTGCTGCATATTTCTTTAGTATCCTAACTGGTAAGGATAGGTAACATCAGTGTTTTATATATATATGTAAATTATATATTTTAGTTATTAATAATAATTATGGTATTTTTGTCTTGAATTTTTGGATAAATTAAAACATTTTCTGCTTATTCTCATTATCACTAATGGGAAAAATATTTCAAACCATAGTTGATTATCATCTTAATCCAACTCTTCCAAACAGCCTTCAAAAAATGCCAAACAGAGAATGTGTTGAGCACGTCAGTGCTGGAATTTTAGCATGTTATTTGTTTTCACTTTTACAATTTCCTTGCTTTGAACTGATTAATGGCCTTTTTAAAAACTATACATCAAACTGCCATATTACTCAGTTGCTTTAATTTTTTTTTAGTTCAGTATGTGATTGCTTCCTATTACACCACATCCTTTAATTACCTATAAGTACTGATTGTATAATAGCACTGTAGAATTTTAGAACTGAAATTTGCAAGATTATTTGTTCCAACACCTTTCTTTTATAGATGATAATCAGACAGAGAGAAACTCAGGTCTCTACATTTTTCCCCCTTTAACTTTATTTAGGAATAATTGACAAGTATAATCATATATATTTAAAGCGTACAATGTGATGATTTGATACACATAAATAGTGGTATGAATAAAATAATCTAGATAATGAACACATCCTTCATTCCACAGTTAATTCTTTTTTCTTCCTTTAAAGAAGTCAAAAAAGCAAAACAAAATTAACTAGGCCCACTTGAACTTTCCAATAATAGGCAATACCTCTGGCCTTCTACTATCTTTCTATCTATGCCTCTGATGATAGCAGAAATGACACTAGCATCAACTTTATATGATTACTGATTGTTTCTAAGCTCTTTACTTGCAGTTCAACAAGAAATTTTTGATTGTAACAGTGCTGATCCATTGTCTCTTTAGTGACTTCTTTATATCACTTATTAAATATCTACAATTAGATAGTGCTCCTCTGTCTAGACTGGTATTCTACTTCAATGGACACTCTAAAAAGCATCCATCATGATTTCTTACAGATACCAAGGTTTGGCTATAATTTTAATTAGGCTGCTAGAATTTTATGCATACATTCCTCTCCCTGTTTCTATCAATGCACCTTAGCTTCCATGACTGAACAGGTGAGGCATTTTAGAACTTTTGAGCTGAAGGCAATATAGAACAGAAACAAAATATTTCTGATCTATCAACTAAACTATGCTCTACAAACTAATAACTATTATAAATTTAATCTAATGACTATTATATTAGATTCTTTTAAAAATGTGATCTACATACTCAGGTCTCTACATTATTTTAGCTGTTGGGGTTATTATTTATTCAAGTAAATTCTCTGCTCTCTCCCCTCTCTTCAGCTTCTGGGATACTCATGTACGTATGTTATCTTTCCTAATGGAGCCAGACAATTGTAAAATGTTTTTATTAAAAATAAATTTTTTACTATAACTTTTTAAAACTCTTCTGAGTCATTTCTAGACTTTCATCTTTGAGCTCATTAGCTAATTCTTTTATATGATCTGTTCTATAGCTTATACTTTCTGCTACATTCTTTATCATTTTCAGTTCCTTAGTTACAGAACCTCCAGTTCTTTTTAAGCATTTCAATATCTTTGTCAAAGTTACCTGTTCATTAATTTTATTCCTGAATTCTTTAAATTGCTTTTCTAAGTTTTCTTGCACCTAATGAGTTTCTTCTTGACAACTATTTTTGGCATTTTCTATCCACTAAATCCTTCTTCTGTGTCTTTCAGTTTGGTTTCTAGAGAACTGTCATTCTCTTTTTGTGATACCATGTTGCAATGATTTTGTTTGAAGATATTTTCTTCTGCTTGCACACTGGACAATTTAATTAATGCCTTCCTTATTTTTTTAAGGTTTTGATTCTAATGCAACAATTTAGCCAATAGTTTTTTCCCCCCAGAAGGTGGCACTATGGTTCTAGATTTGGCTTCTCGCCTAACTGTCTTCGGCTAGCCTCTGCTAGAGGAGCAGAGGCACTAACCTGTGCTCAGGTATTGCCTTTGTCTTGGGTTTTGCTGCAGCAAAGATTTGGGAGACAGAGTGGGAGAGGAGGGGCTGGATTTCTGGTAGCTGCTGCTGCTGCCAGAGAGATCTGGGGGCGGTCTAGCTCAAACTCACAGCCCTACTGCTGCTCCTATATGGATTTCCAGGGCCCAGAACGATTATGCTGTTTCTGCTTCTAACGTGTGCTGGAGATTAGGCTGGTGTCCTGCCTTCACTGCTTGCGTGGTTCAACTACCTGTATCAGTACCAGTCCACCTACCTTTTGATATACATACACATGAAACTCTCTGACACACTGGAGAGAACACAGAAACCCTTTTTGAGTATAGATACTCCCATTTGTTAACTGTAAACAGGGGAATAATAAAAGAAGCTTCTTTTATCTGTTAGGTCACGTGTCCGATCCTTTTAATGCTTTATTGAATTCAGTTTGCTAAATTTGTTGAATCTATTTGCACTTATATTCATTAGGGAAATTGATCTGTACTTTTCCATTTTTGTGTGCTATTTTGTCTGGTTTTGGTACAGAGTAATGTTGGACTCTTTTTCAATTTTGGAATAATTTGAGAAGGATAATTATTAGTTTGGTTTTTGTAGAACTCACTAGTGAAGCCATGTTGTTCTGGACTTGTTTTGTTTTTATTTTTGAGATTTTAAGCAATTTCTTGCTTGAAATTGGTCTGTTGAGTTTTAAATTCTTCCTTATTTAGTCTCATATGGTCACATTATTTCCAAGAATTTGTCCATCTCTTTTAGTTTATTCAAGTTACTAGCATACAAATGTTCATAACAATCTCTTGTGGTTCTCCAAATTTTTTTTCTTAAAAGATTTATTTATTTATTTATACATACAGAACTGGGGTCTAGCCAGAGGTGCAGGGGCAGTGAGAGAGATTCACCAGAGACATCCAGTGGGTAGAAGAATAGGCAGATTGACAAAGTACACTGCTGAGGGGAGCAGCGGGTAAGGGAGGAGAGGTTCTCTGAATTTTTGAGATGTCTACTGTATCTTTTTAGTTTCTGATTTCTATTTTTTTCTTTGTAAATCTAGCTAGAAGTTTAACTATTTTGTCTATTTTTTCCCAAAGAACCAGCTTCTGGTTTCACCATCTTTTGGATTGTCTCTTAATTTCTATTTTATTTATTTCTGCTCTAATATTTATTATTTCTTTTTAAAAAGATTTATTTATTTATTTATGCATACAAGAGCTGGGGTACAGGCCAGAGGTGCAGGGGGAGTAGAAGATTCACCAGAGACAGACTGGGAAGCAGAACAGGCTTATCTATTGAAATACACTGCTGAGGGGAGCAGTGAGCCATGTGGGTCACCTCCTTGGCGGGGATCCTACTCATGCTGCAGTGGCTGCTGACAGCTTCATAGTGCTGAGATTTAACCCTTGAGAGCCACCATATTATTTCTTTTCTCGCATTGGCCTTGATTTTGTATGTTCATCTTTTTAAAATTCCTTATGGTGATTAGATAACTTGTTTAAGCCCTTTCTCGTTTCTTGATGCAGGCCTGTATTACTTTTTTTTTTTTTTTTTTTTGGTGGTTGATTTTTAAACAATTGTGATTAGAGAAGTTATTTGGTATGATTTCATTCTTCATGACTTTATCAATAGTTGTTTTGTGACTCAATGTAAGATGATCCTTACATAGGAGTACTCCATTCAACAGAACTTTTAGAGGAGGCCACCCGGACAAACTCATTCAGTCTTTGTCTGGGAAGATTTTTACTGTTATTTCTCGTTTGTATCAGAAAGCAAATCTTCCAGGGTATAGTATTCTTTGCTGGACAGTATTTTTAAGTATTTGCAATACATCATTCTTTATTTTTTTACTACGTTTTTTTTTCACATAGTTCTTCATATTTTGCATCTCAGTTGTAATCCCTAGGGGCTTCCCACCACCAATTCACCTGTGTGCCATCGCCACAGTCCAGTGCACGCTGGAAGAGTTTCTGCTGAGAAGTCTGTATTCTGACTATTTATAAACCACAGACTTTTAGCTTCCCTTACCATATTCCATATTTCTTATTCGTCTTGTAACAGTTGCTGGTTTCCTTTCTTTGTGTCTTGGAATAGAGCTCATTGAGGGTTTTAGCTTCATGGACTGGTATATTTGACTCCTTCCTTAGGTGTGGGAAATTTCCTCTATTATTTCCTAGGATAGGCAGTCCCTTGTCCTTTCTCTCTCTTCCCCCCAGGAATACCCATTATTCTTACATTTGTTTTATTAATGGTGGCAGATAAGTTCTCTAATTGTCCATTGATTTTTTTTAATACCTCATTTCTCTTCCATTCACCTGGATGCTCAGTGTATTATTATCTTGGAGGTCACTGGTTTGATGCTTCATTTGGTTTATTCCACTTCAATAGCTTTCTCATTAAAAGTTCAATATCTACCTTCTATTTACTGATTTTATTTATATACTCATTAATTTTCCCCCAGAATTTTATTGTTTCTATGTCTATTTTTCTGAACTCCCATGTATTTCTTTTATTTGACTTTCTGAATTTTCTATTATCTCTAATTTTTTTCATTACAGCAGTTCTGAACTATGACAGGAAAAAATAAACTTCTGTCTTTTGTGTTTGAATTCTGGAGAGTTGTGATGTCATACTCTTTTGAGATCTGTATTTTCATATGTTATATATATTGTTTTGTCTGCCCATTTTGCCATTTGAGGTCCCCCTATTTTATTGTTGTTGGAAGTGTATTTAGTAATAGCTTAGTGTGTTAAACAATTTTCCTGCAGGTGGTGCTGTGGTTTTGTTTGATTGTATTTATTTGTTTACTTTGATGTTTGCCTGCTC